AATTGACATGTATCACAACTATTTAGTGTAACATTCACTAAATTAGAAATAATTATTAATTTATAATGAAACTTTGATGCAACATATTAATATTATGTCCAAGATTATAGTTCGTTTTATAGTAGAAAAGTGTACGAGAATAATATTTGTGTAATACACCTATATATAATATTATACCTGCAGATAGGAAATCTGCAGGATCCGTGCCTGGGTTGGATGGATGGATGGACGACGTTTATGAATATAAATATATACGACCACCTGTTTTGGTTTTTTTTATGATTATTGTATTAAGACTGTTCTATGTTAGGTTATCAACATTTTTTGCGAAAATTAATATCTCATATCCTTCTGAAAAAAATCCAAACAATTTTACCTGTAAAAATCACATGAAAAAATTCAAAATGWATCATTTTAATTGAGGTATTATTTGTACACGATACAAATACTATAATCATCTTATTTTATTCCAAGACATTAATTCCGATTTCCGATAAAACAGTTTCAGATTATTCTATTCTGTGGTTTCAGCACAAATTGTAAGTGTTGTTTTTGTTAAAATTTCCTACACTAAATATTATTCCCTAATGGAAAAACGTTTTCTAATGAATAATAGTTATGTACAATAAATTCAAAAACAGAGTTTTTTTTTTTTAGACGCCTTGAAATTTGACGGCATACAACACAAGTACCATATTTTATTATTAAAAAATCCAACCAGATGTSTTATGTTCTAATTATATTTAATCAGCTTCAATCGTGAACTGAACACAGCTACTTAAATATTCAATACTACTGGTTCAAAACCAATACTTAAAATTATCAAATATATTATATATTTCATAAATTATTAAAGCTAATCATTCAATAAGTGGAAATTACCAGTGGCGTCGAGCAGGCGCGGATCCAGGAATATTGTTTTGGGCGGGCCCGTAAATTTAACCACAAAAGATAATACAGTAAAATTAAGATTTAATAAAGAATAATTTTCATTTAGTTATAAATATTCAAATAAATAGTCCAATACTAATAATAGCTAAAAAAAAAAAAAAAATTATTGAAATTTCACCGCCTTAACTTATCACTAGCAAATTCATTTAAAATTTCGTCTGGATTTTGTATCAACTCTTCACTTTTTTCTCTTTCAATCGATAGCAGAGATAGGTTGTGTAAACGTTTTCCGGTCATGGTTGTGATCTATTATTATTATACGTTTCAATTCTCCTCATTGTAGAAAAACTCCTTTCAACTCAGCTGCAGCACTTGAAATGGGAATAACTAAAATAAAACGCCGTCGAGAAAGGTTAGCAAGTTCTGCAATTGCATATGTGCTCTCGAAGGGGATCGGTGTAAGTGATTCGTCTAACGACTCTAACGGGGAAGTTTATCAATTTATAATATAAGCTAAAATAATTAATTTCCATGAACTACAGCTGCAGTGGTTCTCAACCAGTGTGCCGCGAGAAATGTCGGATATTTGTAATTATGCTGGTAAAAAATATTGAAAACAGTATTTTATTTCAATATATTTGTTATGAGTGTGCCGCGAAAACTTATGATGTGTGTAATAAATGTGCTGTGRACCAAAAAAAGCTTGGAAACCAATGAACTAAAGTGATTAATCACCGAGTTTCTGATTTATTTAAATATTAAATTAAAACAACAGGTGTGCGAGAGTGTAGCACTGTATTATAATCTATAATAATATTATCTGACTAGTGACTGATGAATGAGATCAATTGCTTGAATTAAAACGGTGCCCAAATTACAAATGTTGCATACCTAAACCTAATGGCTTATTGGCATAATGTAAAAATATCTTATCAGTGGTTTATTTACCTTTTTGAAACAAATGTACGTATATTTTAAACGTAGGTAGTAGGTACGTGTACAATAATTAGTAATTACCTATAAAATTATTTATGTATTTTACTTTTCTTATTCTAAAATATACGGGTCGATGTAACTGTTCGAAATCAATAAGGTAAGTAATTATTATGATTAAATAATAATAATAATAATACAATAATTATATTAAATATWATGGTTTTTTTCTTAAATAAAAAAGTTCATGAACTATTCGTCGAGGACTTACAATTTATATAATTRCTATTTTTATTTTATCTAATGCGTATGGTCCTTATAAAGACTTCAATGGTATGAAGCAAGGTAGGWCAAGTTAACTAAATATATTTTAGAATCCTGAATAGTGCGATAAACTATATTAAAACACAATTTAGTAGGTCCTATTTAAATTACATATATAAATTATAAATAATATATTATTATCATAAATAATGTATTTCCGATAGTAAATTTAAAAAAAAATTCTATACTCCGTTTTAAGTGTTATGAATAGGTAGTTATATACGCGCGGACGTGTACGTTCTTCGTCACGRAATAGGTATCTCGAGTCATCAGATGTTTTGTTTTTAGACCCCCTCGAATATCCCATTAGACTACTAAAAATATACAGTTCATATTTGTTTTAGATCGAAGCCCCCCACTCACATTGGTGTTAAAAATGTTAGTCCCCTCTGAAATTTTAATGGATTTACGCCTATGTTTACCTACTTTGAATCAGTGCTAAACATTATTTTGACCAATCCGGATTATAGATTACAATTATTTAATCCGTTGATTTGGATTTTGGATCCAATCCGGTTTCAGTGTTTTTGAGATTATCAGCAATTTTTTCATTATTATCAACCTAATAATACGAATACTTGATCTCAGATCTATTAACAATCGACTCGACATTATGAGATCGCTAATAGCAAATATACCAAAAATAGGTAATTATTATTGTTGATAATTATTTTCAAAACGCTTTATAATCCAAATTAAACGGATTGTAGACTATATCCTATTTAACTGACTTATATTCGAAACATTATTTCGACAACTTGTCCTGTACACAGACATAATAAATAAATAAATATAGCAATATAGGTATAAACACACATCATTGTAAAATCAATACATTCATTTTCAGTTCAAAATCTAAAAAATGTATTTAAAAAAATATTAATTGTACATAAAAATATACATAAGAAATTTTAAGTATTAAGTATGTACAAATATTAATATCAGTTTTTCATAAAGGGTTGCCGACACCGCTAATCACAATTGGAAATTATATTTAAACAATAATATCGAAAAAAATACAAATGGGAGACCACCATTTGAAGTTGATCTACAAACTTATTCTATGACGCCTCCTCTACCCCTCTCTCTTGAGGGTGTGGTGTTCGGTTCTCCTGTCCTCTCGAGAGGCTTTAGAATCGGCCCTGCAGTGGCTTACAGTGATTTTTCGTCACTCTCCAAGCCTCCACATGGACGATWGTCCAACTGGTCGTATATATGCATCAAGTTTAACTGGTGCCCAACGTGGCACAACTAACAACCGTTAATTCTAAATTTAACGATAAATGATACGTGCACCGTATATCCGACCGATAGATGTCGTTTTACATACTGTTCCATTAAAATACATTTTTACTTTTGACTATAAACTAAGATTATCCAGTGTCAGCCTGGTACTTAAACGGMCACCAAAAATGTTATGTCATAAAATTATGAAGAAATGCTTATAAGTAGTGATATATTAAATTTTAAAAAATATTAAGGCCACGGACGCGTTYGCGGCCTAGCAGCCATGGACAGATGACACAAATTCATGCTTTTCACCCACCAAAGTTCCAATTAACTATAGATATACAATGTACCTGATTTACTCCCAAATTATAAGCTATAAGAATTATATTTGCATTCAGTATTTTCCAATGTTTAAATTTTAAATTGATTGTAATACAAATCAAGTAATAGGTAAATACATAAACAATACCATTGATTATAAATAGTATTTATAATCAATGATAGTACACATCAAACTTAGATACTTGTAATTTGTTGTAGTAAAGCCACAAAATTATTTACAGAAATAGTAATAATAAACTTTTGTTAGTCTCCAACAAAATAAACCAAAAAAGCTTTGTTGCACTTGACACAACTATATTCTAACAAAACTTGTTATTACACTTTGTATATAAAGATATTTAAATATATAGTATAACTCTAGCAGCAATTTTTATTTATGTCACTCTTAAACAAAAATTAGATGAAAACTGTTGATGTGTCAAATTTAGTTGTTGAGAACTAAGCTTAAAAGAAAACCAATTAAATCAGTTTAATGGCCTATAAGTAAAATACATAGAATAAAAATATGGTAAAAAATKATCATTGTATTTTTTTTTWTTTTAGTTAAGGCTATGATAACTAAAATCGTTAGCATACTTGTATATTGTAACTTGCCTAATAACAGTTGGTATGGTTTTTAAGATTAATACGGTCGGTTAAGAACATGTGATATGTGTGTCAAGGATTTAACCACTAAGGACCAGGTAGCGCACCCTTCCAGGAACTAGTGCCACCGGCTAGTGCTGGCACTCACCGCACATCAGTGTTTGAAGCTAGTTAMTGCGCCCACAAATATAATTAATAATGATATGTTATAGCAGTTATACAATAAAACTAAACCCTGATAATTGGTTTTATTTTCTAGTAATTAAAATAAAATATACCTGAACATCAAAATTAAAGTAACCTTTGTGTATAATGAAATTTTATAAATAATTAACACAAAAAAATTTTACAATATTATGCATATTTGTAATAGGAAATACAAAAATAAACAAAGAAAACTAAATTTGGTAATCCCAAAGTTCAATTTCTTTCATTTTAATTTGGAAAAGTCTTTCCAATTCAACTGCACAGTTTGCCCAATATGAATCCTCTGGATTAAATAATTTACAATTACTAAACATTCGTCTCATATCAGCAGTAAACAACTTTCTACTCACATAGTAGCCTGCAGCCAATCGCTTGCTAATTGTACTCAAGTCTGTAAATAAAATACTTATTAATTAAAAGATAGTAAGTAAATAGGATATATAGTACAAAATTCACATATTATTTCAATAAGTAAAATTAATAATTAAGTATTGTATGTTTGCATTAACATATTGATAATTTATTTTGATATAATATATTTTCAAAATAAAATAGTGAATTGCTGTACATTTTAAAATGCACTCTAATATTACAACTATTTTTTTAAAAATTTTTTTTATCACTTATATGATGAGTAACTAAAGAATAGTTAAATGATTTTCCTTAACTTAGAGAATAAAATTCTATTTAAAAAAAAAAAAAAACTTACCCATAGGATACTTTATAAGCTCATAGTAACCAGGAACTTTTTTATCAACTGGATTCAAAAACGGTTTAGACAATTCATTGTTTTTTATCTAAAATCAATGAAAAAAAAAAGTTATGCATATAACATTAAAATTATGTTTGTATTAGCTTAGATTAATAAGAATAATATTTTATGATTAACAAGCTATATCAATAATACTTTAAGAGGTTATACGGCGCACTGTTTGTTTTCACTCCCTGGACAATGACATAAACAACATATTATACAAAATGTGGTCACACTTTTTTTTTATTCTGTAACCTAACAGTAAAATCATTTGTTATAAAAATGATAGAAAATAATATTTTTAGAGTAGTTTAATATACGATTAATAATTTATCTCAATATTTTCTGAAATTAATATTATATACAATTCAATATTTTTCCTCCTATTAGTCAAACCTGTGGTACTGCATTAACAATAAAACACATAATAGCCGACTGTCTAATCAGATTAAACAAATTAGTCTAAACTATAACCAAGAACGCGCCGAACATAAGATAATAATATTCAACCTCGACTYCACACTCGGACCTATACATGAAAAATGCCTAGACATAATTAATTTTTTAAGAAAAACAAWATTGTTCAATCATATATAAAAAAAAATTTTTATTCTAATTAAATAACTTACCATTGTATCAGTACATATTATATTATATCATTATTGTAAATAAGTGTAACTAATGGCCTTTGTTGTCGAGGTGAATATGTTCAAGAATAATGAAAAAAAAATTTTTTTTTGACAAATAATAATAAAATATAAAACATTTTATGTCAATCTCTCAAATTTATTATTCTCTATCATTTGTGTTATAGGTGCTTTTACTCTAAGATTACTCAACAATTGAAAAAACGATTTAATGTTAGGTCTATTTTGAGCATGAATCTGAAATAAAACGAATATTGCGCCAACATAACCTTAATATTATTTTTTTATGTACTCACAAATTGCAAAACTTTTGTTAGGTGTTTAGCTAAGACATCAATATCAGTTGTTTCTTCTGTGATACGACTATTTCTTGTAGTTCGAGTTGATGGTATCCAACCAGTATCCATGACACCAGGTATTGATTCAACTGGGATCATGTGTACACCATCTGAGAAACATGATAGGCCTGGGTAATGTCTTTCTATTTGCTTATATTTTTCTCCCACTAGACTCTTTACTATCTATAAAAATATTTTCTTATTAATTATTTAGTTARAACTATATGTCTTTAACTTACTTCTTTTTGTAATCGTATCACTGATGTTAACTGAGTATAAACAATTTTTGGGTTTAGTTCACAGTGCATCAATATTGCATCTTGATAATGTTTAATATAATCTTGATGTATTTTCTTCGGTATTCTCACATCTTGACTAAACCCTTGTTTCTTAAAATATTCTATAAAAATATTTTGAATAAGTTATTATTATTCTGGTATTTTTTRTAATAAGCTATACCAATTGCAAGTTTATCAGCATAAGTAAGAAAATTGAGTATATTATGCTGAACATGATAATCTTTTAAATGATTCATTAGTTGTGTTCCATATCCATTTTCTTGTTGATCAACTTTGACTGCACAGAACACAATTTCAGTGAAACCTTGAGAGACAAATGGACGAAAACATATACCACCAATTGGAACGTCATCTTTCAATAAAGCTAATGTCTTGTGTTTCCTAATTTTAAAATATAAATAAGTATTTATTATATCTAAACATACAACGAATTTTAACTAAAAATAATTGTTTTGATTTGTTCAGAATTATTTTATTGTTTTCCGTAAATCAGTTAAAAATATTTATTTACTTCTAAATTCATTAATTTATATTTTAAACGTGCGATTTAAGATAAATGAGGATATTATATTATATAAATAGGTTGGCAGTTTTAGTTTAGTTAATTTGAACATGAGACCTTGGTGCCAAACCTTGTYAAAAGCCTGTGAGACGTCAAGAAAGGCAGTGGTTGTGTATTTTCTATTTTCAAAGCTATCTACAATTATTTCTGAGATTCGCTAAAGTTGATGACATGTGGAATGGCAAATTGGAATAATTTTTAGGTATGGTTTCATTCTGTGTAGCAGTATACTTTTTAATAGTTTGAAGAGGGTAGGTAGTAAACTAATACTTATATAGGTCTATAGTCTTTTGGTAAACAGTTTACCAGGTTTGTGTATAGGAATGATAATTGTTTTTTTCCAGATGTTAACTAAATGTTTATTTATTATTTATTAAAAAGCAATCAGTACATTTTTATTTTAAGAATATTTTAACAATTAAATTAAAAATAAATAAATAAATAATATTCATAATAATAAAACATATTGTTTTCAAAAGTTATCTAATATTTTTATTATTGAAAGAATATACTATCTACGAGTAATGTATTTCAAACATACAATTAATAAATACGAAATGGGAAACTATTGATTATAATTAATTTTATAAAACTACATTTAAAAGATATCGAGATATCAAAAGGAACTTCTAAATAATAATAATAATTTCTTGATTGAAATGTTGATAAAWATAAATACTCACGCATTAAATACTAATCGAGTAATGTATCTAACTGGCATACTTGGCAACTGAATTCGAAACAAATTTCTTAATTGCAAAAGCCACAACATAGTACTTTTTTCGACTCTTGATTCTAATGAATTACCTATGACTACGAAGCGTATAATTCCATGCTCTTCTTCTGTTCGAGCCTGTTGTCCTCGAGGTCCAATTTCTAATCCAAACTCCTACATTTTTTTTTTTCAAGTTAGTTTTAAGAATATAAATAAAAATGCTTACAGAAATGTATTGTGAACACACAAATATTAAAACATAACCATCAAACTTTAAATTAAATAATTTAAACAACCTTTATTACCAGAATTATAAACCCTAAGAATATAATATTAATAGATGGCAAATCTCCAATTTAAATGGAATTTTGTATTGGCATAAAAAATACTCATAAAAATGCGAGAAAAATAAAATAAATAAACAACTATTTATGTAATTATAAAATTAATAAATAACTTAGTGAATGAATATAGTTGTTTAGAATTTAATTTATACCTAATTATATTCRGGGTTGGACTAGCTCAAACAAACGGCCCAGGAAATAATTTTTTAACAGGCCCCTGCTCTCAGCTCACAGCCTGTGCTATGGAGATGTTAGAACTGAATAATTTTTTGCTCACTCAGTGGCTTATATAGGGGTGAGGGTTATGGGATTTTGTTGGTACGGCACTATTAAAATAAAGTTAATTTATGAGTTATAACCAATGCTACCATATTTCAAACGACGCTGACACGAAAAGTTAAAAAAACAACATAATATTTAACGGCTGAGGGAATGCTGTACATCAGCTAATTGATAATTGCTATATGTAAATAGCATAAATATACACTAGTGCAGGGCGTCATAATATAATATGATATTATCATACTTTTTAGAGATAAAGAAAATTAACAAATTTTATTTGTTTAAATTAAAATAAATATAATATAAATAGTAGTAATAATAATATCCTCGTCCTCAGTCTTTTATATTTAAACGTTACATACCATATTATAGGTAGGCAAGGTTATCACAACAGTTAAATATTATTAGTTCTATTACCATTTAATATATATATAAGGCTCCCGCACTGCTTATTACCGGCCCCAAATAGCCTACTGCAGCCCCCATAGGCTCATTTTCATGGCGGCTTACCGGGAAAATCCCGGTGTCCCGGTAACCTAGTCCAACCCTGACTAACAAATTAAACATCAAATAAATACTAATTATAGATCAAATAAATACTAATTATAAATTATTATGTTCTGGTCAACATAGGTTATGTTTATTTTTGATAATGGGATAGAAAAAATGATTAATTTTCAATGTTTTACATAAATATCTACAGTTAGTTTTAAAATAGAACTTACCTTAGAGCAAGTAATGGGCTCATTTTGAATATTTTTTAAAATATCTACAATTTTTTCTTCTGTTAAAACATTTTCAATATTATGTTTTTCATTTGGTTTTATTGGCATATCTCTGAAAATTTTAAAATTACTTATAAGTCTAATATGGTTATATTCTAATTGATTATTCAAAGGCAAGGAGAGTGAAGCAACATTTGTATAATTTTTAATAAATAATAACAAAAAAATGAGTACTAATTAGTTCTTTTAGATACATTTAAACATTTGTCTTTAAATTTTAACAATTTTTTTTTTTATATTATACATACTCATTGAGATGTTTATCCTTTTTTTTACGGTTTTTATGTTCTATTTCCTTAGTTTCATCTAGCCCGGAGTACAAGGAATCTAAAGTGTTCATTGATTTGAATCAAGTAACAGAAATATATAATTAAAACTATACATATTAGAAAAATAATTTTTTACCAGTAAGAATAATTTGTTTTAGATTAGAATCTTTAAAATGCAAATCCCATATTGGTGAATGTACAGCATATACTTCTTCTTCTAATAAATTCATGTATCTAAGATTTAAAAAAAAAAATCATGCATTTTAAGATAAAGTAAGTTTAAATAAGTTTATTTTTATAAATTTCTTATTTACTTGGGCAAATAGCTCAAGTAAAAGTGGTTTTGACGATTTGTCCGTTTTGGAGCTGATGCATAACACCAATCTGTTAAATACATTCTAAATGCTTTTAATGTATGCTTCAGAAGGTCTTGTCCAAAAATCATACTCATTTTAAAACTTGGTGAAATTGAATGAAGATATTTGGGTAGAACACAAAATACTAAATATCTAAAACACAAAGTCAATGCATTATAAAAATATTTACTTAACGCAGTTTTCTATATAAAAATATTGATACTTAGGTATTACCTTTGATAATAGAGTTCATAATTTTTCCTATTTTGATATGATTTACAATATGGCAATTCTTTAGGGGAAGTCCATTTCCAAAGATCAAAATGTTTTGTTAWAAATGTACTGATTTTTAAAGCAATTGTTAGTTGCTGAAATATGACATTTTTAATTATTATTAAGTTATTAAGATAAAAGGTATGTAGGTATTTTAAAATTAATACAAATAATGGTATTGACTATTGAGTAATTAATGTAAGACTTACAGAGCTGTCATGACCAAATTTATACATATTAAAGTTCATTAAAACTTTAACTATGTTTGGATTCTCAAATGGTGGAGTTCCAAATAATTTATCAAGTGTGATACAAGATCCAGGATAAACAAAATTACGTAATTCCTAAAACATAAATAATTTAAATTAATTCTAGGAAAATAAAAAATGTGATAAGATTTAAACATTACTTACATGATAAACTGCATCATAAGTTTCTTCTTTCACATAATTTCTCTCAGTTTTTGGTTTTTGTAAATCTTTATTCAAAGTGGCAGATAAATTATCAAGATCAAATGATAATTCTAGTAAGGTATTTAACTGTTCATCCTTGGCACTTTCTAAATGTGATACATGAGAAGCTAAAAATATTAAATAATAGATATTGAAATTAATTAATGTTTACTATTATAATTTTATACACAACAAAAAATTACTATAAGTAGTAACTGTTATTTTATCACAGTATAATATATAATTTATTTGATAAAACATTTAATTAATTAAATATATAAGTCATAGTTTAATTTATTAGTATGAATATATGTGTCACATTGGTAAGAATATGCCAACATTTGGATTTAATATAATTTGTTTAATTTGTATAGATATTTATTGTCTGTAGTCTTAGCTATAAAATTGACACCATTGATACTTGGACAGCCACTACCATTATTCAATCAATAATAATTATATTATAAATACACAAAATGTTCTTAAATGTTTTATAAAAAGTAACATTCAAATGTTATATTTCTATTATAATTAATATTATACAATGGTAAATTAGTTAGAGCAGCAATAAGTAATTAGAGTTTTATAATTGTATTTAAATAATGTCAGTAATTCTTAAAATGTTTTAGAAATCTCTCCCTTATGGTTAGGGAAATTAAGGTCATTTTAAATTTGAATAACATTTTCATTATATTTACTTAATTTTTCTAGTGTCCATATTTAAATTAGAGTACCTACCACAGAACACTACACTACTCCTGCTAGTATACTGTATACCAACTAGTTAATTTTTAAGCTTTTACTCACATARAGGATGACCACAACCAGATTTTGAGCAAGTTGAAGACATCAAATGATTATCACACCTACCTTGCCATCCACTACATTGGCAAGTTGAAACCTAAAAATAAAGATAAATGTAAATGTAATGTAGCATTACTTCTCCTCAAAAACCTTATTGACAAAGTACATTAATTGTGTAAGTGTACTTCAATGAACATAATATTATTGATCCTTATTAAATTTATAATTTATATAAACAAAATTTCAAAAGTATAGATAAGAATAGATATTAAAGGTGGTATAAATAAGGCTAAAATACAACYAAAATATCAATAAATATTTATGTGCATTAAAAATTAGATTGATTTTTCACTCAAAATGAAGACGATGACTAGAAATAGGATCTTGATGACCTACTAAAGTATCAGAAAACAATAAAATTAGTATGTTCTGAATTAAGGGAATATGAAACAAATTTTTAGATATGATCAGTGGCAGCCTGGCCAAGTCGATAAGACAGCGATCGTCAACTGGGCTCCCTTCAATTTGATTRAACAAATATTTTTAAGGCGCCACTTCTTCCCAATTTAGATGCCTTTTTTTCTTTAGCCGATCAAGTAATTTGTTCCCAGGCCGCCACAGGATAAGATAGTTTTTAATGGGATCAAGGGGGAAAATACAATAACCATCAACGTCTTATCTCTAATGATAACTTAAGTCTAAGACATAGGTGATCAGTTTGCTCTGAAGTCAGGAAATAAATGAAGAGGATAGACCAAAGGTCGGAAGAAAACAATTTCATAAAGGTTACTGTGACTTGGGTTAACACGAGGTGAGCCATATTACCTGACAGGAGGATTTACTTGATAGCTTTATCAGTTTCTCGTGTCTGGACAATTTGCGTTCTGATTCCTTGAATTCAAGAATCGTTTGTACGATTGGATCGTTCTCTACATAGTGGTCGGGCAACAGCACGATAGATGCGGACGATGAGGATGGCAGACATCTCTCAAGTTCTAACGACTTGGCCGTCATGGTTGCTTCACGGTCACGCGAGGTAAAAATTTAAGGTGTGTGGTCAGGGTAACGATTGGGGTGTACGGCMACCATCTATAGTTACCATTCAAAAACAACAACTACGTGCCGTTTGATTTGCGATTCAATCAGACTTGGGGAGCCGTTGTATAGACAACGTCAGACAAGTAGTCGATGTCGAAAAAGAAGCGAACGTTAACGACAATGACAATATTATTGGCAACTAGTTGGTACCAAAATAATAAATATTAAACACCGGAGAAAAATATTGCGATGGAAGCGGCTACGCCCGTAAACCGTAACGCGGTAACTCGGTAACTCAGCGAAAACGGACCAAACGTTCAAACAGTGCACTACTGCAGTATGATGTAGTGCTCAGTGTTGCCGAATTCAAAATGTCATATTACCGTTTAATGATAACAAAATTACCACAATTACCACATTACCTCATCAATTTTACCACCACAAATACCACATGAGACATGTCCACATTAGAAATATAACGCGACTATAAGTGCTGAGCTGTACGTAGTGAACAAAAATCAAAATTGAAAATGCAAACTATGTTGTGCCGTGGTGGTGGAATTCTGAAGGTCAGATATGGAAGTGGAACAAGCGCGGGTATTCCCTACGCATTAGACAGCCATGCCAAAAACGTGTTGCCTGGTATTTTTAGAAATTCTTATTGGCATAATATTGAATTAAATATTAATTAATTGAATTATAATTTATAATCATGGACCTTATGATTGAGTTATGACTATAATTATATTTGTTCATCGATTTCTTCGTACAATTTGAACTGTTGCAGTGTTGCGGGTCTACAGTAATTATATTATGTAGCCTCGTAGAATGATAAAATTATTGTTGAGGGAAAATAAGACGCCATTATGGTTGTAAAATATTAAAATTAAAAATGCATGATGTGAAAACAGTCCGCTTCGGTTWGGGACTTCAGCCATCGAAGACTTACAAWGTTGCACATTTCTTTCAGATTTTTTGACCGATCGAAATTTTTTATCTTCAATGATTAAAAAAACGTATGATTCAAAATTTTCTTATGCTTTTAGATAAAAATAGTCAAAATATTTTGAAAATTGTATGCTGTACCTATGTATGGAAAATGCAAATCTAAACATTCGACGAGTATTTTATGTTTATTGTATTGGTACTGTTATTTTTTGTTAGTTATACCAAAAAACAATCGATTTTGTTGAAAACTATTTTTAAT